CACTTTTGCGAGAGTCTACTTTCTATTTACTATTCTCCACTCCTTCGGTACAGAATAAAATATTTCTTCCACTCTGCTCTTCCACTATCTTATCCTCTCCTAAGGAACCGGGCCTTAAGATCGCAACGGCAAGGGTTCTACCTACTTACTCAATCCACAGCGATATATATATGTTTCAATGTGTTTCACCAGCTTAATGCGAACACAAATAATGGAGAGGAGAAATAATGTCTTCATTTTCTTATATTTTACGTACCAGAGGACATCTACACAAAATGTTAAATTTAAGCATTTAGTTCTTACAAGTTTATTTCTGAAGAGATCATACTGTGTTTATCAATTTGGTTGGATATTTCTTGATTCTAATTAAACGCGTGGAGAATAATAACAGCATTTCAGTAAGGTTTCGGCTAAGGGAAGGCAATGTTAAATTGCTACTTGCAGTTTTAAAAATTGATTAATTAAAAGACATATTCAGCTACACAGCTTGTCCTAATTTGAAGCAGATATGACTTTGAAGCCAACTTAAATTACCAGAACCTCCAAAAGAAGGTAACTTATCTCTAAAACCCAAGAAAACCTGGGGACCAAGCGAGTCGTGACTTACGAGCCTGATAAGGGTTGCCATTTGTATGTGTGCGTTTATTTCTTGGCTACTTAAATACCGTTCCGCGCCAACTGTCCCTTAGCAAAACATTTCTGTGCGATCTTTCTGGCTAGATTGTTTCTTTATTTAGAGATTGCCATTCTTCCGAAATTAGTATGTCTCATCTAACAAGCCGAATTGTGGAGTGCTTCAACGTTCGGTTTTGTCCAAATACCTTTTCTTAGTTCTCACTGACGTCTTGAGACTATCCAACAACTGCCTATAGGTTAGATATGCCACCCATATAGTTGTTAGCCACGCTGGTAAAAATGAAATTCACCTACACTTTCTGAAGGGTGGTTTGGATAATGTCTCTGTATGCTCGCTGAAAAGTGGTTTTATACTTAATAGGCACAAATCAGTTCAGTGCGTCTGCCATCTCCAATCCTGTCCCATTACTGAATCATTGGACATTCTTCCCTTGGTGTTACTATACCCTCAAATCTCTAATAATCCCTTTATATTGAAATTTACGTTTTTTTTTTAATTTCGTAAACTCGTGTAATAAATTCGGCGTGTTTTTTCTTATTGCAGCTCACAACCCCTAATCTAGAGATTGAAATATCAATCAGTGTATCTGAAATGGATTAATGGTACAGGTATGCATGAAAAGTACTTCAGTTGTAAGGTTTGTTGCAATTTGTTTTATTATGCAGAATGCACAAAACCCTTAGTGAAATATGTTTAAAGGATGTAGGATCTGCAAAAATACCGCGAATAACATGTTCAAAGGATTTGAACTATGTGATGTTTAGCCGAAAGTAAGTGAGCGTAAGTGAACGTAAATAAAACTACCTATAGAAATAAAACGAGTAGTGTGTTTGTATTTATCTCAGTAAACCGTTAGGCAGATGGTTAAGGCTTCGGGGTGACCGTTAGCAGGTGATTGGTGAGACATCTTGTGAACAACCTCACCACGGAGAACGAAAACATACTGTCAAATGACTATCAAATGACAATTTTTGACTGAGGTGCTTTGGCGTTTTCCTTTTATTTTTTTTGCTTTGATTTGGAAAAGTGCGCGGTCACTTTAAAACGCGTCCTTCAGATAATCTCCTCAGTTGCCGGTGTTTATTATGCGGCTACAGTTGAGTTTTGTGATAGGTTTTTGTTAAGGTTGAGACAAGGAAATATAGTAACCCTTCCTTAAATTTATTGCAAAGCGACCTATTTAAGTTGGTAGGTCGTTCCTGTT